CCTAGCTCTGCGTAGACGCAAGGGCCCCACCAGGACCCCAGAGCTGGAGCCGTCCTCAGCCCCCCAGGACCCCCTGAACTGGTTCGGTATCCTGGTTCCTCACAGTTTGCGACAAGCCCAAGCCAGCTTCCGGGATGGTGAGTAGATCCTACCAGTAGGCCACATGTCCCCAGGCTGAACCTGGACCACAGAGGGACCACCAGAGAAACAACCCAGAAGTGAGCTATGTCTGGGAAGGGCAGAGAGAGGTTCATAGGCTGCCATAGCGCAGTAGGGGTGCCAGGACCTGAGGGGGGCAACCCAGGTGAGGACCTGGGGAGCTCAGGATGGCTCTGAGCAGAGAATGGAGCAGTTAGACACAGGGTAATAGGAATCCTTTGGGAGTTGGAGGAGGACAGACCAGAGAGCAAGAGAGGAAGCAGATGCAAGTAGCAGCCAGCCTTGAGATCCAGCAGTGTGGGGAGGGGGAAGGAAGAGTGGGAACCTGCACATGCTTTGAGTAGAAGCCCCAGAATTTGGTGCCACATTGGATGTGGAAGTAAGGAGTAAGGGACAGAGCCCCCAGTCTCCATCCAGCCTTCTCTCCCAGGAAAGCTAGAGCTGCCTCACAATGGGGACCTGCCACAGGCCACAGCTGAGGGGAAGTGGAGGTGGTATGGGTGTGTTCCATGTGCTGTGTGGTGCCCACCAGTGCCCCCCAGAGAGAGGCAGAATGGGCAGCTGGTCAACACTCCTGAAGTGTGGGAGAGGTCTGAGTTGGACTGAGGTTTGGGAGTCCCCTGCGTAGCCCTGGTGTTTAGATTCTCAAGGTGGTGACACAGACACAACATTAAAGCGAGATGGGATGAGAACAGCAGTGGGCCCAGAAATATGGGTGGGGGTGAGGAGGGGACAGAGGAGTAGCACCCAGGTGATGGGGTGTCCTGGAAGCTAAGAGGAGAAAGTATTTTCTGGGGAGAGAAGAATGCCAAGCAGGAAGCCGAGGACTGAGGATTGCTTAATGGACTGGACAGTGTGGAGGGCCCTGAAGACCTGACAGCAGTGCTTCCATCAGGGTTGGGTCAGGGCTATCCAGAAGTAGATCCAAAAAGTGGTCCACTGTGAGGGGCCCACTGAGAGGGAAAGTGGATGACAGTGATAATGGAAGAAGGGAGGAAGAAAGGAACTGAGGGCATGAGCAGTGATCTGAGAATCTTTATTTTTTGGTGGGTGATTTAAGAGACCAAGGAAGTTCTGAGGCATTTTAGCAAAGACCTGAAGGTCCAGCGAGGCAATGACTGCACCTGGGACGTTTTAGAGATAGCATGGAGGCCAAAGAGGCCTGGAGTCTTTCCAGCTCCAGGGTGTCCAGAGCCTCCTGGGTCGTGTTTCACATCGTGGATATCATGGTGACAGTCTTTGCTTTTCCTCCAGGCTTGCAGCTGGCTGCAGACATAGCCAGCCTCCAGATCCGCATCGATTCGGGTCAAAGCCAGCTCCGAGGGCTCCAGGAAAAACTCAGGCAGCTTGAGCCTGGGGCTGCCTGACCTGTGTCCATGGGCAGTGAGCACAGCTGATCTTGATGTGGCTGCCATATCTCCGGCCTTCTTCCTTCACAAGCAGCTCCTGCCCCTACCCTACCTATGAAGTTCCCCCTTCACCCTTTAAAAGTGTCCCTGATCTGAATGTTTCCAACTTTGTTAGTTTGAAGAAGCAAACTGAGTGATGTGGAAAGCCAGTACTGTGAAACCACTTCTAGGCCTGAGTTCTCCTAAGACACACACTGGTCAGGTGCGAGGCTGTTGCCATTTGTGAGCAAGTGGACCAGCCTCAGGTCAATCAGCTGTGCTCTCATTACTGGATGATGAACACTTCACACGCAGTGGCAGTAAACACAGGAAGTAGTGTTTGATCCTCCTGACTTGACTTCCATGGAGGAGAAAACCATGAAAAGCTGAGAAATCAGGGCAGTAGGATTTGAGTTAATAGAAATAGAAACCCGCATAGACAGGCAGCCTGCAGCACCTCTAAGGCAGGAAGTAAAAAACATATGACCTAGATGTCCAAGGGAACTCTAGGAAGAGATGTTCCAGTTTTTGAAAACCTGCTTGTATCCTACTAGGATTGAGGCTGAGCCTCTCTTCATTTGTTGAAGGGTCAATTGTTTCCTGTTCTGGGAACTCAGTGTACTTGCTTAATTTCTCTTTTTAGCAATTTCTGGGAGTTCTTTATGTTTGGGGGGAATTAGTCCTTTGTTTAATAAGAAGAAATGTAAGCACTGTTTTCTGGTTCCTCTTTCAACTTTGCCTATTGTTTATTTGTTTAACTTCTTGCTGTAAAATAAACCATCAAACTTCACAGAACATTTGAGTCTTAGTGAATTAAAGTGAAAGCTAAAGTAACCATCAACTAGCTCCTGTATTTGTTTTTTGTTTGTTTTTTTGAGAGGTTTTTGCAATGGGGCGCGCATACTGGCCAGAAAAACAGAGAGAGAGAAAGCGAGAGAGAAGGGGGGGGCGGCCACGCCACAATCCCTTTTCCATTCTCCTCTCAGGATCTTGGGCATATACGCACACACACCCAGCGTGAGTGTAAGCCACCCGGACTCGACATAGTCGACTTCATGGGAGTCCAGCGACATAGCCATTATGCTAACTGCTAGCCCTGCTCCTGTGGGGTTTTTTTGTTTGTTTTTTAAATCATTTTTAAAAATAAAGTCGAATTTACCAGTCAGCTGTTGTTACACGATTTCTGGGTTTGGGTGTGGTTTCAGTTGGAGTTTTGAGTTGTCTGATGTGCAACTTTTCCACCATCTGCCCCTGTAGCGTATTAACTCAACCTCCCAGAATTTGAGATGCCACATTTTGTTCCCAGTATAAACCGAACTTTAATTTTGGAGCTATTTTGCTTCCTTGATCTTACTCTCAGCACCACAGTACCACCCTTTTAGTACTGGAGCCTTCACGCTTTAATCCGTGCAGGGTAGGTTTGTGGTCGGGTAGGGAGGGGTCAACTTTTGTCCCTGTGGAGCGGGGGTTGTCAGTGAAAAGCCCGAGACAAAAGGTACCCCTGACCCCACACAAAGGCTGATTTTCACAAGATTCTGCAATCAATGAAGTATCAACTAGTTACACTTTGTAGCAAAGGAAAAAACCGTCCTTGCTTTGCCCAAAAATTCTTCCCGGAGAACAGAAACCAAATGGATAGCCGGTTCCAAAGAATCCTCTGCTGATTTTTTCTTTTCTAATAGTTAACTTTATTTAAATTAGATGTCAATTGATATGGGTGGCTCGGCAGACAAAACCTGTGTGCATTTGCCGTGTGAAGCTGGGGTGGCCCTGCTCCCTGCGTGACCTCTAAGGCAGGAAGTAAAAAACATATGACCTAGATGTCCAAGGGAACTCTAGGAAGAGATGTTCCAGTTTTTGAAAACCTGCTTGTATCCTACTAGGATTGAGGCTGAGCCTCTCTTCATTTGTTGAAGGGTCAATTGTTTCCTGTTCTGGGAACTCAGTGTACTTGCTTAATTTCTCTTTTTAGCAATTTCTGGGAGTTCTTTATGTTTGGGGGGAATTAGTCCTTTGTTTAATAAGAAGAAATGTAAGCACTGTTTTCTGGTTCCTCTTTCAACTTTGCCTATTGTTTATTTGTTTAACTTCTTGCTGTAAAATAAACCATCAAACTTCACAGAACATTTGAGTCTTAGTGAATTAAAGTGAAAGCTAAAGTAACCATCAACTAGCTCCTGTATTTGTTTTTTGTTTGTTTTTTTGAGAGGTTTTTGCAATGGGGCGCGCATACTGGCCAGAAAAACAGAGAGAGAGAAAGCGAGAAGGGGGGGCGGCCACGCCACAATCCCTTTTCCATTCTCCTCTCAGGATCTTGGGCATATACGCACACACACCCAGCGTGAGTGTAAGCCACCCGGACTCGACATAGTCGACTTCATGGGAGTCCAGCGACATAGCCATTATGCTAACTGCTAGCCCTGCTCCTGTGGGGTTTTTTTGTTTGTTTTTTAAATCATTTTTAAAAATAAAGTCGAATTTACCAGTCAGCTGTTACACGATTTCTGGGTTTGGGTGTGGTTTCAGTTGGAGTTTTGAGTGTTGTCTGATGTGCAACTTTTCCACCATCTGCCCCTGTAGCGTATTAACTCAACCTCCCAGAATTTGAGATGCCACATTTTGTTCCCAGTATAAACCGAACTTTAATTTTGGAGCTATTTTGCTTCCTTGATCTTACTCTCAGCACCACAGTACCACCCTTTTAGTACTGGAGCCTTCACGCTTTAATCCGTGCAGGGTAGGTTTGTGGTCGGGTAGGGAGGGGTCAACTTTTGTCCCTGTGGAGCGGGGGTTGTCAGTGAAAAGCCCGAGACAAAAGGTACCCCTGACCCCACACAAAGGCTGATTTTCACAAGATTCTGCAATCAATGAAGTATCAACTAGTTACACTTTGTAGCAAAGGAAAAAACCGTCCTTGCTTTGCCCAAAAATTCTTCCCGGAGAACAGAAACCAAATGGATAGCCGGTTCCAAAGAATCCTCTGCTGATTTTTTCTTTTCTAATAGTTAACTTTATTTAAATTAGATGTCAATTGATATGGGTGGCTCGGCAGACAAAACCTGTGTGCATTTGCCGTGTGAAGCTGGGGTGGCCCTGCTCCCTGCGTGGGTCTGGGGGAAGACCCCGCAGACGAAGTCGCAGAAGACAGCAAACTTCCACCAACTCGCCCTTAACCTGCCCTGCAGCTCTCCTCCGGGACCCCAGCTCCAGAAAACTGCGGAGAGAAGACTGTCCCGCCGCTGGAGGGAAGTCAGGAAAGTCCAGGCGGCTCCGACTCGCGCAGCCGCAGTGCTGAGGAGGGATAGCTACAAAGGCGAGGCGGCCTCGTAACACGCAGTTGTGGGTGTGTGCTGCGCCTAAGCTGACGTAAGTGACGTATACAGAGCCGGCAGAGCTTCGCTCGGCAGTTCCCATATGGTCTAGCGGTTAGGATTCCTGGTTTTCACCCAGGCGGCCCGGGTTCGACTCCCGGTATGGGAATAGACCAACACTTTTGGTTTTCTCTCTACTGCGCTCAACTGGGCCCACTAGAGTACATCAAGCCAAATTTGGTATATTTTCTCTGTTTGAACTCCGAAGAAAGGAAGTTGAGGAAAGTCACGCTGTGTTTTCACGGAGGTTGCAATTCTCATCACACCTGCCTATCATCTGTCTCTTTATAACTTGTGAATTATATTAGGTACCATGCACATCATAGGTGTGCGAATAGCATTATTAATATTGAAATGTTAAGTAATATTAAAACTTATTGTCAAAGGTGGGGAAGGAAGAAACAGTGGGGAAAGCAGAGAGGGAGGGGCTGGGGCTGCCTAAATTGTCAAATGTCTTCTTTCAGTTGGCAGAAACCAGGTCACAACTCCAACGTGGCTTAGGAATCCGCTCAACTTAATATTCAAGTTCATTGCTTTCAACTTGTACTGGCCATACAACAGCAGAACACAATTTAGCCAAGTACTTTACCACTTTATAACAAGGACCTCCTTTCCTTCAATGTCCTCATTCCCTTCTCTGGGCTCAACCAGGAAAGCCTTAATAGTCATGTTTCTGCCAACATTCTGTTCATGACAGCAATATGTGCAAAGAGGATAGACGCTTTCTCTACAGCTCTCTTCAACATCTCCGAGGCCTCATCGGGATTACCTTTATCATCCATATTTCTGCCAACCTTCTCTTCAAGGGATTCGAGACTTTCTTTCTTTCTTTCTTTCTTTCTTTCTTTCTTTTTTTTCAAGAATTATTTTATTATTTATTTATTTTAATTTGACCAGTGAGAGAGAGAGAAAGCAAGCCGCCAGGTCTAGGACTTGGACCACGGTCTGCCATGTGGGGGTCCAGAGACCTTAACCACACCATGCCATCCGCTAGCCCCGGGATTCAAGACTTTCTATGACATGGCTTGAAATTCTCCCAGCCTCTTCACATTACCCAGTTCCAAAGCCACTTCCACATTTTAAAGTTTTTGTTATGGAAACATCTCTTTCCTGGTACCAAATTCTGTATAAGTTTCCTTGGGCTGCCACAATAAACTGCCACAAACTTGGTAACTTAGTCTCTCCCAGTTCTGGAAGCCAAAAGTTTGAAATCAAGTTGTTAGCAAAGGTGAACTATATCCCAAGACTCTGGAGAAGAATCTTTTCTTGCCTCTTCCCAGCTCTCGGAGGCTGCTAGCAATGAGGTTCTCCTTGTGTTGCAGAGGCTGTGCTCCAGTCTCTGCCTCCATGCTCCATGAGGCCATCTTCTCTGTGTCTCTGTGTGCCTTCCACTCTCCCTGTGAGGATGACAGTCATCAGATTTGGCTCCATTCTGAGGACAGAACTCCAACTGTGTTTTCCTATTTCTAAAATCCCTTCCAGAGGGCCTGGAGTGAGTCACACCCAAAGACATGAACTGGCCACTTTGGCCCATTTGATAACCAAAATCTTCCTACAGCCTGTCCCTGGCAGAGTATCCCTGTAATGGGTGAGTCACCCCCACAATCATTAACAGACCATTTTGACTCATTGATAACAGGACTCTTCCAACATCCTGTCCTTGGGATCTTGTGATTGTATACAAGTCCCCTTATCTCTGTTACAGTCTTTACTAATTCCTTCCTAATATTTACAAGCCCCGCTTGCTTCCAGAAGTCCTGCCGGTTTGGGTCAGGCCAACAGAAAGCTCTTCACTAAATTCTCTCACTGTCAAAATAAAATCAAAGGGCCCCCTGTATCTGAGCTGACTGATCATAAACCTGCTCACCCTGCCTTATCCATTTATTCCTCTGCAACGTACAAAAGACTTTCCCAGCCCAGTCTGGTGGCATAGGTGATAGCAGAGTGAACTGCAGGGCTGGGAGCCACGTGGCTGACCCCTAAGCTGGTCGGCCTGAAACACAGCAGGTATGCACATAGGTGCCCAAGATCCTGACAGATTGGAGGGCTAGGAAAAGGGATCATGATAGGATGAGACCGTGTCAGGGACGTTTCTCTTTTTCTCTTCCTCTCTTTCTCTCTCTCTTTTTTTCTCTCTCTCTCTCATGTACACATGCTCTCTATCACTTATACAATAAATAAATACTTTTTAAAAGATCCTTTTCCCACAGTTCTCCCTCTCCCTGTGCCTAGTGTCTATGGAAATAAAAAGCTCTGCAGAAATAATTAACATGGGGGCCAGCAGGTGACATGGTGGTTAAAGGCACTGGACTCCCACATGGCCAACTGCAGTTCAAATCCCGGCCCTGCGGCTTGCTTTCTCACTTTTTCTCTCTCTCTCTCTCCTCCCTGTTCAAATTAAAATAAATAAATAAATAGAGTTGAAAAAATAATTCTTTAAAAAAACTTGATCAGACAGGAACAGAGAGAG